TTTAATACATGTTAACCAGGAGTCACTCTCATTTATAATCGCGGCATCGTCTGATAAAATCAACATGCATCTACACTTAAAGAGCAGCTATGCGGTTGTTTTGGCTGTATTACGGTAGGTAAATTTGGTAAAGGAATATATATATATATATATATATATATATATATACTTTAAAAATGATAACAGTATAAAAAATATAACAAAATATGAAATATAACAAAAAAATTCTGAAGTGAAATTAGGAAATGCTTGTGATCTGCAAGCACATCAAACATGATGGAAATGATGGAAATACACAAAAGACACAATGTTGGGAATTTGTTTTATGTGTCACCAAAGTGCATCCCTGTCCTGCTCAAATACAACAGATAAGAGATATTATGATTCTCCAAAAACAAAAACTTTATTCATACAAACTTATTTCAGTCAACACACTCGATTACTACAAAGTAAGTGCAAAATACTGCATCCCAGCAGACACGACACGATGATGCACTGTGTCTCTCTCAGTATCTGGTTGACATGACTGTGCATGAATTGTGGTATAACTTTTGTGTCCGTGGTTTAAACGAGATGTTCATTATTTTCTCAGGCATCTTGATTGATGCCTATAATGAAATTGTGGTGTGCGTCATGGCAGGCGTGGCGTACTGGTGTGTTCTGCGCAGACTCATTGGCATGATTGAGAGCAAACGTGAGAGGTCACGGGCCTACGGCAGGGTGTGGCCAAGTAAAAAAATTTAAATCTCCAAAAAATGGCTAGTTTTATTTAAATATAACTAAAATAGCTCCTTGTGGCAAAAAATAAAAAAAAAAGTCGCAGCTACAATGAGAAAGTAGCTAAATTTGGCGACAAAATCCCCAAATTGGCAACACTGGTTTCTCCTCTCTTGTTTCGTTTAGGTTTTCTTTGTTTCTGGGCGGTGGATATTTGTGGCGGTCAATGTGGATATTGTGGATGAGTTCTTCTGTGTCATCACATTCTATTAGTTCTTCAGCTTCAGTTTCGGAACTTTCACGCTTAGTAACACATAGAGCTGTTCCCTCACCACAGTGAAACAGTGAAAAGGGACCCCTTTCAAACAGTGTCATGTTCCGAACGTTGTTTAAGCGACATACACCGGTATTGCGGTATCATAGTTAATCATTACATTTCTACAGTAAATACAAAGATACATGTCCTATAACATGCCCATTAACAGAAAGAAAATGACTTTTGGTAGATTTTTTTTTCTTCTTCTTTAGGTCCCTTGCCAGCTTGAATGAATAATGAATAAAATGTTCGGTAACACTTTATTTTAAGGACCAATTCCAACTACTAGCTAGTTGCTTATTAGCATGCATATTACTAGCATATTTGCTGCTTATTAGTACTTATAAAGCACATATTAATGCTCCAGGACCGAGTTTGGGCACCCCTGATTTAGATCCTCTAATCCCACCCCATACCTAAACTTAACAACTACCTTACTGACTATTAATAAGCAGCAAATTAGCAGTTAATTGAGGGAAAACTCTTGGTTAATAGTGAACATGTGTTCCCTATTCTAAAGTGCTACCAAATGTTGATTTTAAAAAGTGCATAATATTGATCATTTGTTTTGATTCAAGTAAAATCTAATTTTTTATATACTTAATATATAATTAATATATAATTTAATAACAAAAAAAATCTAACTAAATCCTTATATATATATATATATATATATTGAACAAATTGCTAACCCACAGCATATTTAAATGTCTATATAAAGAAGTATCTGAAAACCAAAAAGTATTTGAGAATTGACTTGGACTCTGCTTCAGAGACTTGCTCGTGTCTGCATGTCACTGCACCAAGCACAATTCTACCCCCTCTGCAGGCAGGCTTGGGTCAGCCCTCTACCTTGCCCAAACAGAACTAATCATTTCAT